CCAACTCTATTATTTATGGAGCACATAAGTACGGTGCAATGCATAAAATGACTGGAGGGTCAGTATTGACCAAGTCAGTAAATCCATCAATTTAAATATAATCTCCCAAATGATTTCATCATGTGGGGATTCCTCAAACTTTTGTTCACTTGTCCACTCTTGTCAGGCATCTTTTGCATTGGGCCTTCAGACCCGTCACATTTCATGCTGTGGGAAAATGGGAGGGTGGAGGATTATATGGAGTACAGGAGATATATAGTCAAAATAACATTCTTTTCTCAGAGAGTCAAGGACATGTTGCCCTGCACCTTGAGTGGTGTGACTGGGAGGCCTCTCCAGTTGGAACGGTGCCTGATTGGACCATGGGATGGACATGTGTGTGCTGGGCAGGGGCAAGAAACTTGAAATTTCTTTTGGGTGGGGAAAACCTGGAAACTCTCAGATTCAGGTTTTCCCAGAAGTGCCAATATGACATCTCTAATAAAATGGAACTTTGAGGAATCTCAAGCCTCAGAATCTTCTTTCGCTGGGGGTGTTCTTTGGAACCCTGACCCATTCTTATTTTGATCTCATTCATTGATCTCAGTAGAACAAACTCAATGAACACAAAATAAATGGATTTTATAGGAGAGGGGAATGGAGAGAAGGGAATTAAATTAATATTCTGTCCCGGCTTCTCAGCCCTGCTGTGATTCATGGCTCCATAATGCTGAGCCAATAGTCAACCAAGAGGTCAATCCAACTAAACAACCGATGTCCCTCTTGTGTAACTTGGCTGTGTTTTGGAGAAAAGAAGGAAAAAAAAATATTTTGCCTTCAGGCCGCAGTTTCAAACATTACCAGCCAAAAGGAGCTGAAATGGATCCAAGAATCAATTTTATCTTAAGTCAGCAGAATCAGAAATGATTTCCTGTCCTTTTTTTTCTTTAATTGAGTCTTAAAACTCTAGATTAACCATCTTGGAAGAATTCGGGGCTCTTTTCGAGACATAAAGCTAATGATTTTTTTTCTAAAAATAATTGAAAGTTATTGTATACACTTTATTTATTTATTTATTTGGGGGGGTTTCCAATTACGAATTCTTTTATCAAGAGGCTAAAGGCAGAAAAGCAGAAAAGCAATAAACATTAACATTCGTGGGTTTTTAAAAATGGTTGTGGTTGAGATCTTCTACTGTTGCTATTATTTTTCTGTTCTTTTGCCTTTAAAGAATTAACCAGTTTACAGGTATAAAGTTTTCCACTATTTTCCACTATTTAAATAGTCAAAGACATAAGCATGTAAATTCACACCACTGTCTTATCACTTCTCACTTTTGTAAAAATTTTGAATGCCCTAGTTAAAGAACCATAATCCTTATGACAGAGATGCTATGGCTCAGTGGCTAAGATGATGAGCTTGTCGATCAGAAAGGTTGGCAGTTCAGCAGTTCGAATCCCTAGTACCGCATAACGGAGTGAGCTCCCCAGCTTCTGCCAACCTATCAGTTCGAAAGCACGTAAAAATGCAAGTAGAAAAATAGGAACCACCTTTGGTGGGAAGGTAACAGCATTTCCGTGTGACTTAGCAATAGCAGTTAGACTTATATACCGCTTCATAGGGCTTTCAGCCATCTCTAAGCGGTTTACAGAGCCAGCATATTGCCCCCAACAACAATCCGGGTCCTCATTTTACCCACCTCGGAAGGATGGAAGGCTGAGTCAACCCTGAGCCGGTGAGATTTGAACAGCCGAACTGCAGATCTAGCAGTCAGCCTGCAGTGCTGCATTTAACCACTGCGCCACCTCGGCTCTTCTAGGCTGGAGAAGGTGGGAATTGTGGTTAGGGGAAAAATGTTTTTTGAGATTCTGTGCACTCTGAATTGCTTACTTGAGCAGATGTATGACAGTAGGGCAAGAAAGAGATGTATAAAACCATGCACTTGTTGAGATCAAGGAAATAGAGACATTTTTCTCCTGTTCTCGGAATTTGGGGTCACTCAATTTGAATGACTGACAACAGGGTTAGAGCAGGCCGCAGGAAATACATCTTCAACTTTCAAAGATTTATAGAATTCACTGTCAAAAAATACGATGACCCTTGATTTGAATATCTTTTTTCCAAAGATGTTGAACA